TTTTGTTATTTTATATTTTATTTGTTTTTGCGATTTATGTTAACTGCACACTTTAACCTCTCTGACTTCACCTCAATAGGTTTGCCTTTGCCATTTATCCAATATCGCTCTGCAATTCTCTAAAAAAATGAATCCCTATAACTGTCCAACATTTTGTTTCACCCTTTTTTGATGGTCGACGTCCTAATATCTTATTTCATACACATAAAAGGACCCTAGGGTTTTAAATTGTGGGATTCAAGTGTGCTTGTCTTCTTCTCCATGGAGCTGCAACTGGCGCAGAAAGGTTTGGATTTTCCCCGGCGAAGGAAGAATTGGCTTTTTGTCCATGCGGCTATGGTGCTTATAAGGTTTATAATTTGCCTTCGGTGGTTAAGAAGAGGAAGAAGTTCTTCAGACTCATAGGCGCTTTAATATCTGTGGCCGAACTAATTTCTGACTCAGCCGAGACTATGGGAGTTGTGTCCAGGGACTTAAAGGAGTTTCTGCATTCCGATTCAGATCAAATTCCCGCTAGTTTTAAACAGATTTCCAAAATCGCAACGTCTGATGAGTTCACGGAGTCTCTGGGAAGGGTCACGCAAGCTCTAACTATGGGGATTTTGCGAGGCTGTCGCTCTGAAGCGGGGAATCAAAATGGAGCACAGCCCAGTTCTAATTTCTCCGACCGGGTTATGGACAGGCTCTTCTCTACGGCTGGCTCGGGTTTTGCCTCTGTCGTTGTTGGTGCCTTTGCCAGAAGCTTGGTCCTGGCTTACTTCTCTGATCGTCAATCTTCCGGAGGCTCGTCTCCAAACATCCTGGAGAATGTATCCTGTCTCGGATCCGACTCCTCATCTATCCCGAAATGGGTTAATGTGGTCTCCAGCGAAAAGTGTAGAGAGCTTATAGCTGATAGCATCCAGTTGTTTGTGAGCACAGCAGTTGCCGTTTATCTTGACAAGACAATCCACATCAACACCTATGACGAAATGTTTTCTGGGCTGACCAACCCGAGGCATGAAACAAAAGTGAGAGATATATTAGTCTCTGTCTGTAATGGGGCTGTGGAGACCTTAGTCAGGACATCACACCAAGTGCCGACTGGTTCAGCTTCAAGTTCAAAATTGAGTTTAAGTTCTTCTTTGGTTATTGATCAAGCTGAAAGTCTGACTTCAACTAGAGATGAAATTTCTGAGCAAAATACACTGTTACAGACAGAACCAACAGAGAGAAACTCAGTTAATGGGGTTCAGGACAGCGGGTGGGTTGGCAAAGTTTCATCTACGATGGCAGTTCCCAGCAATAGGAGGTTTGTTCTTGATGTAACTGGGAGAGTAACCTTTGAAACTGTGAGATCATTTTTGGATTTTACGTTATGGAAACTGTTGGATGATTTGAAGAGAAGTCTCAATGTTGTTCATGAGGAAATTGTTCAACGATGCCTGGAAGTTGCCAGATATATTGCTGAGAAGTCTTCTGTTATTATAACACTATGTCTTGCTTTATGCTTGCATCTGTTGGACGGTGCCAGGGTCTTGATGCCAGCATAAATGGCTGATTTTCTTTTATCTTTCCACACAAGGGAGTTCATATTATGGATATACATGTAAGACCCCTTCTGGCTGGACAATTGAACCATACTAACAGAAACATGTATGCATTTTGTTGTCTTTTGATATGCTCTCATGAAAGGCTTTCTGAAGATGGCTTGTGAAATGGACAGTGCTCGAGCTGAAAGAGAAGCAACAAGTGGCAGGGGGACTATTTCCAATAATGAATACAGGCCAAACTCCAAAGTGATCTGTCATTCCTTTTGTTGCGGTGTTTCCAATGCTGCCAGCAATTAGATTTTTATTTGTGCAACAAAGATGAAAAACAGTGCCTTGCTTTGATGCATACCAAATTCATACCTTTCCAAATTCCAAAGGTATGATAAGGAATATTGACCAGAAAAACTATAGGCATGTCTGCTTATGATTAAGTTTCCTAACAATATTTTTTGTACATTTAATAATAAGAGAAAATTTGTCTCTACTACTAGCACTGATTTCTACTAGAGTGGAGATGGGCTTTAAAGGTATTATGGGGCTTGCTTTTGGTTTCATGTTCATCACAACACCTGAAATTCTTCTGATACATTTGTAAACAAAGCAAATGATTAAAAATCATCAGGTGCTTTTTAGTTGTGGTCTATATTCTTAAGCTGTTATTTCTTGAGGCAAAGTTCCGCAAATGAGCTTTCTCTTGTCTACATTGCTTGCAATTGCAATGATAGGATCACATTAATCCTTTTTGGGCAATTTCCACTGCATCAGTTAGCTTTGAAGATGATTTTTCTGCTAAGCCACTTGTTTTATCCTCCTTTTGAGCTAGCTCTCCTGTTTTTGAAACATGACCCAACACTTGAGAAAACCTGAATACTTACACCCTGCCATGTCTGCTGGTACCTGGTAACAGTGTTTTTTTTTTCCTATTTTCTTTTTTGTTATCTTATAATGATGCTCTATTGTCGTCTGCTGTAATAGTTTAAGCTGCCAGATCAGATGGTTTGATTTCCATGCATACGAGTTAACATGACAACTAGAAGATCCATAAGAGTTGTACCTTCAAGGGAAATGGAGATTTGATGTCTTGAGGGAGGTCAAGAGAGTATGTATCTTCTAGACCCACCCTAGCAGTTTTCTAGTCATACAACTAGAAAGAAGACAAATAACTAACCTCACACTAGAGTCATAGTTTTCAAGGTGCCAAGGCGAGGCTAGGCGACTGGGGAGCGCCTTGTTGCCTAGTTTTTATGTTGAAAACATAGATCCTAGGGTAGTTCCCTAGGTACCATAACCATATATTTTTAATAATTATTCATGATTTTCATAAAAAAAGTATAAATTTCATATTAAAATATAGAAAATCAACATATTCATGAGAAGAAAAGGAATAAGCAAAATAAAATTCAAAAAATATAGGGGCTGAACCCTTATTTTTGTTATAGGAAAAGAAGAAAATAAAAAGTATTGGTAGTAGTGGTAGTAGTAGAAGAAGAAGAAGAAGAATATATGGAAGAGGAAAATGTGCTGATTAGATAAAATATTAAGTTCTTCCTTATTAGTTCAGGCTTTTAAGTCTTTGAGGGTTCAATACAGCATTTAGCAATGTTTGTGTTGATTAAACCCTAATAAATAAGAAAATAATAAAAATAAATTAGTATATAAACACACAAAATGATTATTTTAATTTACTAATGCCTATTTTATAATTATAATCTCAAAAAAGAATGAATAAAAAAGTATTTTATAGTAGGAAGTAGAAAACTGATTGGTGATTAGACGAGGCGAGCCTCAAAGGGCAACAAGTGTCGCCTTGACAACTATGACTAGAGTTTTAGTAATTACTCCTAGAAGAGAGCTTGATACCTAAAAGATATGAGATAAATCTCACTCAAAGTAAACAGAGTGGCTATTCAATCTTCATTTTCTTTTCTTTTCCTTTTTTTGTTGAAGTAAACAAATAGCACAATTAATTTAACCATAATCTGGAAACTTCGACTGCATCAACTGCATCCTTGAATTCTTTAAAGGTTACAAGAGTATCAAGAGGAGCCATTTGTGCAACAAACCTCTCCAATTCCAGAAGTTATCTTTGCTTCTTGTCCTTTTCTTGGCTGCATTAACTGGATATTACTGTTGCTTGACCACTTGTTAATGGTTATATAATACCCCTTAAAGGAAGTTTAAGGAGAAACTCAGCTTTTGATATAAGCAGAGAGACAACTTTGAGTACAGGTACGCTTACGCTACTACCATTTCCCTGAGATTGTTGATAATTTAACCATGGAACGGGGACGACCGACAGTTTGAGTGCTTTATGAACAACACCAAATGGTGTGTTGGTGGTTAATGAATGCTTGAATTTCCTATCTTACAAAGTCGGTTTATGAACAACACCAAATGGCTTTGCATTATTCTAGGCATAAAGTTGTATTGTTTGGTCAATTTGAGTGCTTTATGAAGACCAAATAGTGTGTTGGTGGTTAACGAATGCTTGAATTTCCCCCAATCCGCACTTAATAGTTAATGCTTGCATGTAGGAACTAGGAAGGAATTCCATATGACCAAAAGAATATCAATGAGAGTCAAAAAAGATGTTCCAGCTACAGAATAGCACAAGTAATAATTGCATGTATTATAAAATCAACAAGCTTAGTGATCAGGTATAGTATTTTGAACAGTAGTTGGTCATCTTAAGTGTTATCATTTAGGTTTGAGGGAGTTACTGCTGGAATTATCTGTTCCTACTCAAGCAGCAATTTTTTGAAGTTTCAAGGTAAACAATCTTATGTGACTTATCTGTGGCTAATGAATGTTTGGATTTAATATCATAGAATTCCATGTTCTCTATTTCTAGGATTTCTTTGGAAATTATATGACAAATTGGATCTAGTTTCCTCGACAGTGTACATGAAATTTGTTACTAAAGGATTGAAGAAGCAGGTCCTGATTTGCTTTTCAACCTTGATTGGTGGGTCACAACTGAAATCTTGAAATTGCTGCTAGGTTATGAAACAGTGACAGACTTTGTTTAATACAAGTAGCTTTGGTTCTCAGCTTTCACAATCATGTATCGGAAAAGTAGAAATGTAGAATAGACAAATATTTGAGCATGTCTTTAGTTATGCGGTGTTTGTTTGTATTTAATTAGTGATTATTATCTCGGGTTCTTGAATACTTGTTTGGTTGCTAGGAGTTTTGAAACATGCGATGTTTCAGTTAGGATATGTTTGGCTTGATGGACTTTCCTTCAACTTTTCTGTTTCTCTTTTATTTCCTATCAAAAACCAAATACAACCCTAATAGAGGATAATGACGGGAAACTATGGAAAAATTTCTAACCCAAAACCAATTTGCTAGATGGAAGATTCTTTTGTCGTTCGATATTGATTTGTAAATCAGCTTTTTATATGAAGTGTTGTTAGACGAGCCAAATGTAAAATCATTTTGGCCACTGCATGACAGGTCATCCAGTTCGACTGATCAATATGCTCATTAGGATACAAAAGAAAGACAAAATAATATATGGTTTCATATCATCTTTAAGGGGATGTAGCTAATATAGCGTAAACCAGGCTTAACAGCGGGGGAACAAACAAAAGGGTTTCATCTAGATACACCATTACACCATATATTACCATCTCATAATTCTGTACACGGCAAGGGGGTAGACACAAGAACGCTAAAAGCCTAAAACCAAGAAAGAAAACCGAGAGGGCATTACCACAAACATCTATCACGCAATTTAAAGTTATTGGCTCATCCTCTTCTAATCTTCGTCACTTTGTTCTGATTTTTCCTCAAAGCCTCCTCCGATCTCACAAAGTCGGTTCCAGACGTCCTTGGGAACGGGGACGACCGACAACCGCGGTTGCTTGAATAATGCAAAGCCCTTCAACCCGTCATCTCCTTTGATATCCTTAAGATTAACGGGTCTCCTCATCTCTCCAACGGCTCGAACGTCAACAGCGCCCTCTCCATTCTTGTCGTGGGTCGTATACCATTCCTTGGTAACGGTTACCACACCCACGATTTTACGAGCTTTGGCACCGGAGTGATAGAAGAAGCAGAGGTCACCGATTCTCATGGACTTCATGTATTTCTGGGCCTGCTTGTTCTTGACTCCGTCCCACTGCGAGAACCCTCCGCTTGCCGCTTGATCCTCCCATGACCACTCTCCCGGTTCCGTCTTCAGCAACCAGTACTTGCTATCTTCGCCCATATCTGCGACGGACCTGATGATGGTAGAAAACCAGGAGAAAAAGCGATAGTTGGGTTTTCCTTGTGGAGGGAATTTTTCGTTTATTGTGGTTTTGGCGCCAATACTATTGAACCTGGACCTGACATCTAGACTAATGGACCTTAGCCTGAAGCATCCTTTGGTGAAGCCTGGCCCATAGTTTTATTATATATTTTGTTTCTTTTTGAACAAGACTACACCGTACGAACTCATTGATATGGCAAATTGAAAAGTGAAAAAGTGGAATGCTTTTCTGAGTTATTAGATACTAGATTCAACTAAATTTTCTAATAAAAAGTTGGGCATTATGCTTTGAAAGAATATAAATAAAAATATATAAAATAACAAAATATTAAATTTTTGTTATATAAAATAAAAATACTAAATTTTTTTAGACTTAAAAAAAAAATACAAGATTTTGCACTCGACGTATTTATATTTATATTTGCGCTCTTCCCAACTGAGTGTTAACCAACATATTGTCTCTACTAAACACATTTATGTTGCATAATTTAGCAGTATTGACCATTGAGTTGATTGTGATGAAAAGAAATAACAAAAAAAATGAAAAAATATTGTCATGATGCAGAATGAATTGAGATACCGAGCTCACAGCCACATCCTACCCTGTATTGAGAACATCTCCCCATGAATAATAAATACAAATATGAAAAATGTTCTCAATGTGTGGCCAAGATATACTGTGGGGTGGTGTGAAGTACGCTCTCTAAGGATCAAATCGGGACAAATAGATTTGCTATTGTGGTAGTTATTTTTGTTTCAAAATCATACATGTCAGCGTTGAAAAAAATGGCTGTCCATTTTGAACAACCTGTGCCATTCACAGGGCTCTCCTGTGACACTTGAACTATATAAATTAGAAAGTGCTGAAGGCATGGCTGTCAAGCATGGACAGCTAAAGCTTTTTCCTGCAATCAAAACCCTCTCAAAAAAAAGAGAGAGAAACGTTTCAGAGGGACAAAGTCATCATTTGTGAAACAGCACTCAAACGTCTAATCCATCTTGGTCTCAATACCAGGTTTCGACTGGGACCAAAATAAAAAAACAGTTTTAATTTATTTATACTATTGCTGTATTGCAGTTTCACACTTTCACCATGCTTAACCAAAAATCCATGGTTCAGAGCGGTAAACCTCTCAATCTGTTGGGCCGCAGGAATCACGTTTGCCAATGACACATGATATACCATTGACAATGGCATGCAGCTTCCCAAGTTCCAGTTACTCTACGGTCTCTACCTAGTCAAGAACTGAGTTGTAGGCCGAGTCAAACATGATATGCCAGTACGGAAGATTGGCAGTTTTAGAATTTAGATTGCCGAGTCAATCATCAAGAAACTCAAGCTTAGCATGGAGCTACAGCTAAATCCCTGTCTCAATGTCGTAATACTCAGAGACGGGATATTCTGGTTACTCGTAAAAACCATCACTTAACCAGGACCCAAGATGGTCATCGGTTCCCGGTTTTCATAGTCTGACCACCGTCAGGTGCGATCCGAGTCTTATAACACTGTTAATGCAAGTTCGGCTTCACTCAGGGCAAAGAGCACCCTTTACTGCCTTGCATTTGAAGATATCTCCATACTTGTGTGTTTTATTTCACGAAAAGATATTTCCAGTGCAATGGTAAAAAGACTGCTAGAACGGTATGCTAATGCATGTTTCCCAAAAAACAAAAGAAATAATAATAATAATAAACACACGTGGATAACCATTCAACGAAAAGGCTAAGTGTTGTGAGGATGCATAAACCATAAGGTGTTTGTTATTTAAAAAGCTGCAGTTGGGATTGGATTTCAGCTTAGTTGATCCGATCACGGCATTTGCCCACCAAATGGCATATGGATTACAACACGCAACCAATTTGCAGCCATAAAAAAGTGTTTAATTAGAAGGTAGCAGTGCTGATATTGACATCACCCCAACCACCATGTCACGTTGCTGATAATAAAGTATTTGAGATGACAATGGATAATTCATATCTTGTTTTAAGTGCTCTATCGGGTTGTCTCCACTCTCCCACTATTACTACCTCAATTTTGTGCAACTTTACTCAAACAAATAACATTTGATATTTCAACTACTTTGTACAATTAATTGTACCTCATAATCAATCACCCCCCACCTGTGCAAAGCAAAGCTCCATGATTATAGGGTTTCTAGGCGCTCTACGTGATCTTGTTGTTAGGAAATAGCAGGAACCCTAGCTATTCTAATGGGTATCAGTTAAAAGATGAAGATCCTACCATATATCGTCTTAATAATGATCATCAATTGAACTAGTTGAGTGACACGTGTTAAGAGAGTAATAAGAAAACTGATGGGGCTAAAAATTTGACCAACTAACCAAGAATGTCGAAGAAATTAAAGAAACGCTCAACAACCGATGAGAAGTTTGGTGGTCAAGAATGGGCAGCTAGTTATGGCCCAACATGGATGATGGATGATCTACTAGTCAGTCGGTTGTGTGTAAGAAAGCTAAAGGTAGACAATTAAAATGCATTCCCAAAAGCCAAAAGAGCTGTGCGTATTCGGAGAAGTACGGATTTGTTTAATGCAGATTTTTAATTTACATTCAAATGATCATAACTCACATTCTATGCATAAACGCCTGCTCGTAAATTGGCATCAATTTCGAATCGGCACCTACCCCAACAGTACCTTGCTGAGCCTATAAATTCTAACCCTGGGCTGATAGGTCATTCTCCCTGTATCTTTTCTCTAAAAGGCTGCAGTCTCTATAGTGTTCCGTTCACGTATGTTGAAATTTCAACAAAAACTGAACATCTTCCAGCAAAGCAGGAATCGTATTTATATATATATTTTCTCAAAACACAATAGTGAATAACCACCACACACCAGACATCATAACCTCTTTGAAGCCTAGCATTGCCCCAACATTTATGAGATGGGTGAACACTTAGCAGAAACGTACACCGACCAAAAGTTAGGATTAAGAGCTTAGTCATCCCAACACCAGCATCATCAACTAACAAAAGTCTTCAATAGCTCGCCTGTGCTGCTTAATCTCAAACACATGCGCGATTGTTCGTTTCCAGTGTTCTATTTCTGTCTACCCGTAAGAATCAAGACTGTAGCTAGAAAGGATGAAAATTTCAGTTGCAAGTTCGTGGTAAGTTTAGTGATCATATTTCATATCAGGGTTTTCTACATACACATTTATGTGCAAAACGTGGTGAATAATTTGGTGATAATGTTCGTCCTTCTTTCGTGCGAGAGGAAAAAAAGTATTTAGTAAGGTTCTAGAAAGCATTTTTTCAAACATAATCCACGCTTTCTACTAGTTTTACGCTTGACATTGTAACTGAACGTGTTTCACTAAAATCTTAGCTGAATAGGTCTTTTAGCTTCTGGAAGTACTGTTCAACGAGAAATAAAAGAGAGAGCCAAAACAATCGAACAAAACCGTGTTCCAAGGTTCAGGAATCCTCTTTGATTCTTTATTGATAATAAAAGAAAGGAAACCCAGCGGAAAGAGTTTTTTCTTTACTTGTTATTTTGGGCTTGCTTAGTAGAAGGACAGCGGAGAAAGCTAGTATTGGAAACAAGGTTGTGCGCTTGAGAGGTCTTCCCTCTCTTTAATTCCAAAATTACCCTTGGACTTTCGTCTCTTCTCCTAGTTTCGGACCGTTTACCACTGATGATCCCTTGACAAGTTGACTAACCAGAAATGAGAAATCCTTCCAAAGAAAATTAGGCTGCGTAAGAGAATTTCATATTCAAAGGGAAGAAAATAGACACTCGGAAGGCCAAACATTCAGACAATGGCTTCTGTTGTTCTAATCAATAAACACTATATCTTTTCTCACGTTATAGATGGAAAAAGTTACATTGAACCATCATATATGCTTGTTTAACGTTCTCACAACAATCTAATTCAGATAAAACGAAACAATAATCCAGAAGAACACTTAAACACAGGAAATTCAAATCGATCGATCAAAGACCAAGACAGAAGAACACATAGATGAATTGAATTATCATTAAAGCTGGGGTGAGCCAAATGAACATCAAGTTTATTTCATGGCCGACCGTTGTCCTGAGTGTAGATGTAGTCAGTGTGAGCAGTAAGGGTTCTTCTCATCAAGCACTCGTCCTCTCCAATTCCGTCACAAGTTACATCCACATGGACATCAGCATCATCCTAAAGAGAGCAAAACCCAGAAGAAATATTCAATAAAGTACATCCATTAAAATGGAAACGAAGGCAGAATAGATGATTTAGCTGAAAACATTAAGAAAAAGAAGAAAGAGAGAGAAGAAACCTACCCCAGGTTGGGTATTGACAACAGAGTCGTTAGGAAGAGTAGGCTCCGGTCTGGCAGCCTGGGTCAGTGAGACGAAGAGGAGAAGGGCTACTACAAAAAGGGCTGTGGCTTTCGACATGCTGTGCCTTGGGTGTGTTGAGTTAAGCTGGGCTTGGTAGGTGGTAGCTAGGCACGGGAAACACAGGAACAACGCACTCCAAGATGCAATTTATAAAGGTGAGACAGGGAGGAAGAAGAAGAAGAAGAAACAGAAAAGCGTGTTTGTGTGTGTGAACAACTGGATTGCTTTGGATTCAATTGCTGCTGCCTATTAATAGAGAGAGAGACAGATTGAACAACACAAATAAAAATAAAATTACAAAGGCGAATTTATATGTTTTTTTGGGGGGCGAATATAGTTTTTTATTAATGTCGTTATTTTCTATACTTAGAGAGGGGTGTTTGGGGGGATTTTAAAAAAGGGGTTTTTCCGACTTGCTAAAGTAATAATGCAGGTGGGGAAGAGTACGTGGGGTCGTTGAAGAATGAAGAGGCAGAGCCGCAGAGGGTTGAATCCTCCGACGGCTTGGGATAATGTTATCTTTTAATTCATGGTTAATTGTCAACGCGTTTTTCCAATAATGTTTTATTACCAACCATACCGTCGTTTCGGCGTCTCTGGTGTCTATACCTACACATTAGACCTTAGCTATGATTTAATCTTCACACCCATGGACCAGAGCTGCAGAACCTTATGTGGAGAAGAATTTCGATCCCCTCTGCTTCGACCAAAAAAAATGTGGAGAAGAGTAGGAAAATGAGGGATAAACGAGGGAATCCCTCAGGGGAGAAGATATGGTAAAAGATTATCAAGTGGTTGGAGCTTTATATATATATATATATATATATATAGTTTAAATTGTTATGGCAGTTTTAATTGTTTATAAAATATTCTTGCTGATCTTGAAAGTAAGAATTAATCTACCTAAGGGTAGCCACAAGTCGAGTTCAACTCGTTAAAAATTCAACTCGGTTCGGTTTCAATTAAGCATCGAGCCTAATTTATAGGCTCGTTTATTAATTGAGCCGAGCTTGAGCCTAATAAAATTCAATTCGTGAGGCTCACGAGTCGAACTCAAATAGCTATATACATACATATATAATAATAATAATAATAATAATAATAATAATAATAATAATAATAATAATAATAATAATAATAATAATAATAATAATAATAATATAAAAATATTATATATAATATTTTTCTTTATATATATAATAATAACTAATTATTATAATTCTTAATTTTTTAAATATCAAATAAAAAATATTTATAAAACATTTTTCTCAAATCAAACTTGAGCCAAAACAAGCTCAAACTTACGAGCTTTTGACTTGAGTCAAACTTGAGCTCGAGCCTTGTACTGCCTTAACGAGCCGAGCTTGAATACCTAACTATTTGGCTCGGCTCGAATCCACCCCTAAATCTACTGATAAGAATTGGGTGATTCATGCGGGAAGTGGTTAATGATTCTTGGATGGTGTTTGATAATTCTAAAATGAGGTTCGGCATCTGAAAATTTCTTTTTTTTTAGAGGTTATTATCAGTAAAGCTTGTCTGTGTTAATGTCTAAAATTTAAATGAGGTTTGATAATTCTAAATGATTTCCGACGAGGGAAATCATCAAAATTATATAAAATTTAAATTGCCCAAGATAAATATATATGTTCAATTCAAGTGTATCGACAGTGATCAGTCTTAACACTGGATAATGGATCATTAATATCACGAGTGGTCCTCTCTCTCTATATATATATTCCCAACTAAACAATACAACATAGACATGGAGGGAGGAAGAGATAATATGGGTTTGGTTGGGGATGATGGAATTAATGTGTTAGCATCGAGCCAATTGACATAATATCTTTCGCCTTAATAAATGAAAAAAGGGGACAAGAGAATGAGTGAAAGAGTGTAGAGACGCCACACAAGGCCACTGCAATTAAAATCAAACGTGGCGGCCACTCTTGAAGAAGAAATCGTGTCGACGCTCTAACCCGTCCACGTGGTTCACATGTTTTCGACACCACAATAATATTCAGTCATTCACCACCATTCCAGTACGTGCTTATCTCTGTATGTATGTATGTATGAGTATGATGGGGACTGTGACAGCAAACTGAAATTTCTGGAAAATAAAGGCATTCCCAAATCCGAGTGGACGGGAACCATTTGCTGGGTTCCATCCATCGAAGCTGAAATTAACGAAGACACCACATGTACACATTTGAGTTTTTGATGCCAACGTCGTGTTTGCTGTTTGGTTCATGTTGCTTCTCTAATATTGATATTATCATCAAAATATGTTAAGTATATAGGAGGGTTTCATTCTAGTATATATATAGTCAAATGAACTCCACATGGACCAGTGAATGGATTCCTTTGGTAAGACCGGAGAGGCACATGGGCCCAATTCTCTAGAACATGGAGATTTGTGTTGTTTGGTTGCAAAATCAACTATATATATTGGTTGTCTTACGATTAATAATCAAAATCACAGACGAAGTGCCAAGATGGGGGGGAAGGGGCTGTTTAACGATAAGCAATTTATTAAAGGATAAATTACATATATCCCATTGGCATTTTGGTCAAATACTTGTACAACCACTTAGGTGTACCTACATGAGATTTATTAATAGGAGAGACTGAATCAACAAACGGAAATAGGTAATTTATCAAAGTGCCCCTGGGCCGGTAATGGTAGGACCAGTGACCTGAAAGATTCCCAAAAGTATATATTCAAATTAATATGTATCTATATATATACATGCATATGGTCATTAAACCATCTCATATATTATATAGATCTTTTATTCTTGAAAACCGATCTATATTTTACATGCATAAACGGGTAGCAACTGGATCCATGAGTTGATCTCTCAATTTGTCATATTCTCCGAGGCACTCGAATGTTCAATTTCTCTAATTTGGTGCTTTGAGAGAGAGAGAGATTTCAATGTCATTACAACTAAGCAATCTATAATATTATAATAGTTAGGAGTGTAATGAGGATGGAGGATGTCATGCTCATGCACCATTTTTGACGTTAACTGCGGCTAATTAATAAGAGAAAATGGCAAAATACTAAACAAAATTGAGAGGTGGTTTGTCGATATTTATAGAACTTGAGTGGAGAGGAAAAAACTCTAATTAGCGTCTTGTTTTGCAACCAGAACCCACAGTTACGAACAAACGTTTGATAACGCTCAGATCTCTCGTCAATCGCTTCTTGTGGCTGAGAACACGTACGTACTTATATTTGTTTTAAAAATATAAGAATTTACATTTGCTTTACTTTTGGTGAGACGATAGCTGTTGTTATGAAATGAAAACGGACTGAGAAATTTACACACGGACACGGTAGAGAATGCCCTAGAAATTTCTTATATTTACTTCTTTCTCGATGATTTTGTTTTTTGTTTGATGATGCTGAACTCACTCTTGAATCAGCTTATCGTAATCGGTAATTCGTATGCGGTGGTGTCAAGCACTCGTGAGAGAACAGAACCCATAAAAGGATAGTCACTCATTGGATGTAAAGTCAACACGATTATAATATATATACTAGCAGAGAAGAGTCATGTACATATATACACTAGGTAGGAATTAATCTACCCTTCTGACTTTCTTGCCAACCACACCATCCATACGTTGCATGTGAATAGCCAAAACATGGATGTCTCTTTTCTTTTTTGATTTTTTTTTTAGTTTTTTCTATTGAACACCTCCACAGAATTATATATACTTGAAAGTGTGCCCTATTTTGGAAAACCTCTCCATAAAAGGTAATTTCTTCAAATATAAAGTTTTTATACAGAAAAAAAGAAAATCCTAGAATAACACTTTTTAGGTGACCTGAAAAACTCTTCTTGCTTTTGATCTCTCAACAGTCATTGTTCATAAATGGAATTTCTCATGTAGTGAAATTTATTAACATATATTGAGATAAAGAGCCCCATGTTTTTTTTTTAATTCAAAAAAAAAATACAAAATTTTAAAAGGATTAGGAAGCAATATGAAAAGTCTAACGTGAACAACTGCATTTTAGAATATAGTATAGATAGGAGATCCAGAATCATTTCTCTCACTCAAAAAAAAAAAAAAAAAAAAAAACTAACTATATATACCATGCGTAGTCTTGTCTGCATTGAGCCATAATTTTCCCTTTAAATAATAGCCCTTGATTATTTAATTTGAAAATGGTTAAAAGGGCTGAAGAAAATGACTCCTCATTTATTTATAATTTCTTTATGTGAAAATACAGTAATTCAAATTTAATTGTAAAACAATTAACTGCCAATGCCAATATGTGGAATTATAATCTCCATTCTGTAAATTTGAATATTTACATATCCATATATTTATAGTGTACTAGTTGGTCTTGTTTGTTTTGAATCTAAAACTGAATCACATTTTAACATGATCCCTCTATTGAATTGGATCTACTTATAACAAAAAAAAAAAAAAATCATTTTCGTCCAATTCAAATTCTCTGATTATGAATCATCAAATCTTTTGGTTCCCATAAAAAATAAAAGAAAGAAAAATAGAAACACGAAATTAGGGATGGAGTATATGGTCAATTAATAATTGGAAATTTTTAAACATAAACATTTTTGAGAGTAATGTGCAACTAAGAATTGTCCAGGTTGTTTATTATTATTTAATTGTATTAAATATTAACTATGCACCATACAAGCAAGTTAGTTCCTAAAAATATATTCAAATGTTAAAGATTCTTTCATTACTAAAATAAATAGTATATTACATAATAGAGAGTCGACTATATAAGATGCATGTGTATATAAAAAAGATCAGAGTGCATTTGATTTAATCAGCAGCATTATCCCAACTATATGGGGTCGGCTAATCCACGTTATTAAAATAAATGGAACAAATATAAAGGATGATTAATATTGAATTCGTTCACCAAACGGAATATGAAATATTCAATTTGTTATTTGATATCGGCTAAGATAGTATTCTTCATTCTTCCTCTTCTTCCCTAGATTAGTACTGAAGCTACTTGTTCAATGTCGTTTTCCACAAGTCAAAGATCAATTTGATCATGTACCGAACAATTCCTTTGATGAATATAAGGTACCATAGGCAATTTTTATGATACAGCATTTAATTAGTACTTATTTGTGCAAAGCCTTATATATATTGTATTATTTTGTATATATTTGTATTTGTATTCCTTCTAAATTGAGCTTAAGGTTCTGTTTGAGAAGAATGTAAATACAAATATATTCAATGTAAAACTTTCTGTGTATAGGGA